GATCCTCGTCATAGTGCCGTCAGATGCTTGTGTCCACTTCCATTTGCCGACCCACTTCGCGTCGATGAGGGTCTTGGCATTCCTCCGCGAAATCCTGGACACGGCCTTGAAACCTGCCCAGTGGCGCAACTCCTTGAGACGTCCGGCTCGTAATGTTTTTCGGTGTTCTATCTCTTCGGCCGGCGTCAGGATGTTGTCGTCGCGCTCTATCACTGCCTTCGCGGTACCGTCCCCGTAGAAGGTGAGAACCACCACATCGTTTTCGTGTCGGGGATCTCCCGCGATGTAGGGTTCGGTTAGCATCTTCCATGCCTCTGCTGCAAAACCAATCTGCATAACCTTCTCGGGCTGCAGAGACTCCGCTATCTCCGTGGTCAGCTCACCGTAGTTGTCGTCCTGAGTCATCCAGGCCTCCATGACATCGTAGTCCGTGATCACGATGGCCGAGGTGTCTGGCTCCTCCGTCAGATACCTCACCAATTCTAGAACATCATCCTCATCTGGTACTCCTTGCCTTCTTTCGGTATCGCCCAGAATGCCTCGACCGAGTATAACTCATCGAGAATGTCATCCTCATCTTCCTCCTCGTCAGACTCATCCACGGCTGCCGTCGCTGTCGCTCCTTCAGCTGGGTGTGGGAGTCCAGGCGGAGGATGTGGAGGTGTCGGCGTCGCTCAGGGGACTCGTCTTGCAGCCTCCTTGCCACGTGCGCTGCCGGGTTCTCGGAACCCTGCGAGCCTGCTGAGAGCGGGCGCTCGGCCATCGCACGATGCTCTCGCCGCCAAGCGTCCACGCCGGGCAGATGAGGCCCCCCCACGTGCGGTACCCGAGGGGCCTGCTCCTGCAGGATGTCCAGCACATTGGGCTCTACGGTGAGGAACTGCATGAAATAGGTGGCGATCCAATATGCTTCGCCTCTGTCGTAAGCTCAGATGATCTGAAGCTGCGCCTTCACCGTAGCACATCGCTTCCACGCCCGTGTCCTCCTTGCCTTGTCTCCTCGGTGTCCACCAGCACATCGTGTGGAACTCGAAGTCGTGCAGTCCAGGCAGCGTCGGCACCTTACTGCCAACTCGTGCCGCCACACCTCCATTGAGATGCAACCCGCACGAGGCCACCTGCAGCATAGCCGCCACCACTCTGGGGTACCTCTGAGATATCTTCGTCAACGACCAACCTTTTGAGGTACTCGCCCAGCCTAGGTGCTCGGAGACCTCGCCGATATCGTGCACAACGTCGATGAGCACCCGAGCTGGATCGCTTTCCGTCGACACGAACGACACGGCGTAGGTGAACATAATCGCCCTTCTGACGTCAGAGGCCTTGATCGCAGTGTCTCGACCTTGCCACTGGATTGCCAGCGTGCCCATCTCTGGCGCGGCCGCCGACACCACCTTTGCTGGGCCCTTCCAATTCGGCACGTCCTTCGGGGCCTTGCCAGGTTTGTAGAAATCCACAGGATCGCCGATCTCGAGCTTCACGTCCTCCAGCACCGGGGCCGCTCTCGACTTCGCTGCTCTCTCCGTCCTGGCCTGTGCCGTCGCCTCGATGATCGACGTAGTCGCAATCTCGCGCAGTCTCTGGGCGTGTCGAAACATAGCCAACCCATTCTCGTCGTCATACTCTTGAGCTCCACTTCTGTCGAAATCTCTGAGCAGGAGAGGCACCCTGCCGTATAGCGCTTTGTAGGGAGTGCCCTCTCCTATCGTCAGGAACGCATTCTTCGCGCAGACGGCCTCCGCCAGCTTCCTAGCGAACGGGATCGTGGTATCGTTCTCGCGGCACTGGGCGTCAATCAAGTGTAGCTGTCTCCGTAATACCTTATGGTGTCGCTCTACCACCTGTGCGTGCTGACCTGGCGCCTTGAGCTTTCGTGTAGTACCGATCCTTCCGAGAGCCACTCCTGCTTCTTCCGATGCCGTGGCCCCTTCACCATCGACAGTCAGCACCGCCATAGGGCCAAACATCTGTATCCAGGCCGTCCAGATAAAGTCCAAGAGGTACTCTAGGGATTTGTCCACCAGCTCACGGGCGACTGTGAACCGAATGCACCCGTCGCACAAATGTCCAATGACCCTTCGCTCGTAGAAGAGAAGATCCAGCTGCACTTCGTCGTTGAACTCGACGCTCAGTTTCACCAGCTTGGTCGGCGTATTGCCGCCCTTCATCCACAACCTGCAGACCCTGAAGGTATCCACGATGTCGTCGACCATCTGGGATCACCTTGGGCGGAACACTGGCGCCGGTGAGCATGCGCTTCATGGCCTTCTTGTTGGCATGAAACCATTGGAGATGTAGGCGTCGGAGACCGCGCCGAGACACCGCCTCGTTGTTCCTGAACAGCGCGCGCCTTGCCGAGCCCAAGTCCCAGCTCGACCAATCTCCGTCCGTGGCCTGCTCTTCTTCCGGTGCCGCTGGTGCTGGAGCAGCGGCACTCTCACCTCCGTCCGGTACGTCGTCAGCATCCACAACTCCGTCCGGTAGTAGTGTTCCAGCTCCTGGAGCTGGATCGTTGGCCGCTGCTCGAACTGGGCGTCTTCTGCCAGGTGGTTGCGGACCCACCTCGGTAGCCCACCTGCATTGTCCGGCGATAAGCGTATGGCTTGGCGCTGTCTCTGGCCTTCCTTGGGCGCACTGTTGACACCTCCAGGTCCGTACTCGAGGCGTCGCTAGCCAGCACTCTTCAGGTATGCGCGTGTGCGCCACGTGGGTGCCGTTGCACGCCCTGCAGCTCCATTCAGAGTGTGCTCGCCGTCCCACACGCGCTGGACGAACTCTAGCTTCAACTAGAGGCCCGGGAGCTTGACTCGGGAGTCGCTGCCACCACGGGCGCTGACTGCGCTGTGGGGATGGAGTCGTCTGTCCTCTTGGCGGTGATAAGCCTCCGTACTGCTGGCCCCCGCGCGGTCGGTGGCGACGGGTCGACAGAACCCGCCGCGTCCCAGGGGGGCTGCGCCCATGGCGGACACCACGGCTCCTGCTCGTCCGCCGGCGCCGTTGCAGCAGCCCCAGGATAGGCCGCCACGCTCTGCAGGACATGTATCACCTCCTGATTCGCCACCTCGGAGATGTAGTCCATGATGCCGTTCGCGATGGAGACTGCGAAAGACAAGGGCAACAGCCTGGCCCGCTCCGTCTCCTCTCTGCCTTCGATCGTCTCGTGCTCATGTCTGCCGTCGCACTGAAACATCGCTGTGTGCCGTAGTAGAGCTTCGTGTGATGCCCAAAGCTCCTTCCTCTTCATCATCGATACTCCAGTTGAGCTTCTCAAGACTGCCATGCACTGATCCACCATGGCGTACATAACTCCAGGATACGCCGCAACTCGCCGCCACGGTGGCTCATGATACAGCTTAGATCCCGCTGGACTCTCATTAATGAAACCTCGTCCGCGCTCCAGCTGATAGAGGGCCACCTCTCCGCACAGGATTGCCAGCGGCTGGCACCTCTTGTAGCTCTCCATCCAGCTGTCCCTGGCGTTGAACATGTTAATACTCGAGAAGCGGCCGTAGGGAGTACATGGAGGAGCCACCACTACGACTACAGCAAGTCCGCGAAGACAATCGGTGTAGCATCCACCATCGTAGAACTCTTCCTCGGTGAAGGGCACAAGGTAATCGTCGTCATCTGAGTACGTCTCGTATTCTTCGTAGATCGCGAAGAGTTCGCTGCTCATGCCCAGTCCCTTGATGGAATCACCGCAGTCGTCAAAGTGATTCTCAATCTCGGACTGATTCCTCTTTGCTTCTTTCGGCATGTCGACCAGGGCCTTCATCTTGGCGCACATCCTGGTCTCTGTCGGGTATGAGCTCTCTTCTTGTCTGATGACTGTAGTCGTAGCTGGTTTGGTTCTCGACTCTGGTTGTGAACGGTTACACGCCAGTCGTTGAAAGTAGGTATTGTTGGATTCCCAGATCCCAATCTACTTCTAGCGCCTTCCTACTTCAAGAATCGACACGCTGTTGCTGTGTTTTGATTTTCTCTGGGAGGACCTGGACCCAATCTACTATATCCGCCTTCCTACTTTATGTTCTTACCTACTTCTTCCTACCGGCGTGTACCCTTAATATCGATTGCGTCGTTGATCTCCCGAAACATCGCCACCATGTACTGAGGATGTTGCTCGTCTCGTTGCTGCTTCCGCTGGTCGCTGCCTGATGAGCTCCTCCAGTCGCTTTTGTACCGTCGTCCCTTGCCCTGGCACACGCAAGGCTTCGCCTTGACCAGGAAAGACGCTTGAATGCGGTCGTTCCAGTCGCTCCAACCTTGCTCGCCAGACTCGTCTAGAAGAGAGGGCACATCGAAGGAGCACCAGTGGATGTCCGCCTCGTGGTACCTCCGTCCGCAATCGCATGACCGTCGGATCTGCCCACATGGCGCTGCCACGTTCGGCGATCAGCATAGCTGCTCCACCTCCAGCCGCTTGAGCTCGAACGCACTCCTCAAGACACCGTAGACGTTGTTGTTGGCGATGTCCTCGTTCGGCTCCACGGCGCCCAGATAGATCTGCCCAGAGCAATCGAAACCGTCCTTCTGTAAGATGCCGTTTGAGGTCTCGAAATTCTTTACCGTGTACTTGATCGTAGTCCAGCACTTGAGCGATTGGCCAGCCTCATTCTCTTGCAGCTCTCATCGTCGTGGCCAGACCGAGACGGTGACCAAGAACCTGTACTTGTTGCGGCGTCGCCTTATGGCGTCCAGCAGCTGCTCCGGCCGCTGCGACCAGAGACCTGCACCCTCATTGGTGCTCTGAGGGCGCAGCCAGCGACTCATCCTCGAAGCGAACCTCCTTGTGAGCCGTCTCTTGCTTAAGCGCCGCCGCGGGTTTGGAGACGGCTGTCGCCCTGGATCTCGCGCGACACGCCGCTCCCTGCCCCGAGCTGCCTGGTGCAACTCCGTATCCCGTGACAGCAGGACCTTGACTGCCTTGGTCCTCGGGCTTCGTCTCGTTCTCGGTCTCGACCATCACGAAGCCGAGCTATTCGAGCCTCGGTTGCAACTTGTCGATCATGTATCCCGTCGCCTTCGTCGCGGCAGCCTCCTTGAACTTCGAGCACGGGAGTAGCCAATGCCCGCTCCTACTGGCCTTCAGGTTGTAGCTCCTGTACCGGCAGGCAGCGACGACTCTCTACGTCCTGGCCCACATAGGTGTAGAATGCCAGGGCCGCACTCCATGATGGCGTCAAGCGTCTTCAGGGAACTGTTTCCAAGCAGTGCCTGGACGTCGCTGTCAGGGATGACGGGCGTCATGTACAAGTCCAGGTTGCCGGTGCCTTCGCTTTCTTGGCTGATCTCCTGCGTGCCAATCGGTAGCACTGCTGGTGGCAGTAGTCGGGGCCCTTGCCGACGTCGTTAACCTCCAGGGGTTCGTTCAGCATCATCTCTTCGGCGTTGTGTCCAGAACACGATGCCTTGGCTGCATGCTGCTTGGCCCACCGATCCCCTACGAGGTTCCCGTGAGCTCCCAGGCTACGAGGTCCCCGTGAAATCCCGGGTCAACAAGGATGCCCATTTCCCCGTTGTCGAGCCTCGTCCGTTCATGACCGAGGTAGTGCGTCTCGCTCTTCTCGTTCAGCGTCCAGACAACCCCGTGGAAGTCCTTCTCGTTGTCCGCGGAATCCATGCTCTTGTTCTGGTCGTAGCCCTCGCGCTCGACCTCTTCATCCAAGTCGCGCTTCTCTTCGTCATCGAAGTAGCTCTCAAAATCGCCGTCGAAGATCGAAAGGTCCACCTGCTGCTCTGCAACGACGGCCGCGTGAGTATCATCGCCAAGTGAACTCGAGATCTGCTCCCAGCTGACCGCCGTGCCGTTCGCGCTCAGCGGTGTGACCGACGCTTTCGGCGGAACTGCTGTGAACTTGAAACCGCCAATGCTAAAGGCCTCCTGCTGGGGCTCCGTAGACGTAAAACCTTCTCAGTCCTTTTGGCATTGTCGGTGTTGTTGTCGGCGTAGCTGCTTTCGGTACGACCATGCCTGACGGTGGGGCTGGAGGACTTGATGGCTTGGCCCCAGCGGTCTCTCCAGTAGCCGTCGAGATAGAGGATAGACCAACTATTTGGTCGAGTCCAAAGGTTGGCTTATCTGGCGTGAGTCCTGGGGTGCTCCTCATGGTTCTCATCTCGCTCACGCTCAGCATGCCCATTATTATAGGAAAAAGCCGGTTTTCCACTCGCCGGTGATGTGGGCCCGCTCGGTCTCGAAGGAGGTTCCCAAGTAGCGCTGGCAGGACTGCCTTGGGTCCGTCTTTCAGTTCACGTCGATCTTCAATCGCCATCTTCGGCTCCGCCACAGCCGGTGCGATCACAGTTCCAACAAATCCTTTAGAGCCTGTCACGCTCGCCTTGCTACCAGGGGCTTCCGGCGTCTCGTTGGTCACGATGCTCTCTGCCGCGAAGAAGTTGATGGCTCCAGAGCCGTAGGCTGGCACCGACGATGTGCTCGGAAATGTCGCGGCCGCCGCAGATGAGTTGGCCGCGGCGCCTGCGTTAAATCCAAACAATGGTACTCCAGCGCTGGCTCCAGCAACCGGGCGAGGTCCGTCGGTGATGAATGATCTTTCTTTTTTGACTTCCCGCCTTGACGGTGTGGGCAGTCCGTCACCAGATGGAACTCGCTTTCGCATCCCTTCGTCAAGCACTTCATCACCTTGCCATCTCGCCCAACTGGATTGCGTCTGCCTTTTCTTTCAAAATGGTAATTTGTTGCCTCCATGTCCTCGCTGGCCGAAGGCCCCTTCGGAAGGGCGTCAGTGATCCTTTTCCGTTCTTAACTTTACTAAAACGCTGGAAACGTGTAGGTCGTCCTGTGAATCTCCTACAGCGCTTCTTGTGGAATTCGTAGTTCTGGTAGAGGTACTGCTGGATCACATCGTCGTCCTTACCCATGGTGCCGGGGAAATCCGATCCGTCCAGGTCCTCGCCGTCGTCTTCGTCTGTGTCCGTATCGTTATCTTCGGCGTGGTCTGAACCCAGGTAGTTGGCCCACGGGTCGGATGAACCTGCTGTCGGCGACCACGGCGCCGAAGGACTCCACCCCGATCTTTGGACTTCTTGAATGGCGGGGTAAGCTCCGGACGGTGTCATGCCGCTTCCTGTTCCATATCCAAAGCCTCCATAGTGTCCACCACCTTGCTGTCCTCCGCCGCCACCATGGTTGAAGGTGGGGAAGAAGAAGTTACCGCCTCTGTAGCCGCCTTTGCCACTGCTCTTGTTGACTGCCATCGGTCCCTTCTCCAGGACGTGTCCGTATCTTCTGATGTACTCGACCCATTCGTTGAATTGTTGCTCTGTCCTGGGTAAGTGGCCGCGGAAGTGAATGAGTAGTTCGTTCCATTCTTGAGGGCTGCAGTTGAGAGTGTTCAGCAACATCCACGCGCAGCCCTGCGGGTCCATGTTGAATCCTCCCAACGTCGTTGCCCTCCTGCGTGTAACCTCGAACCTCGATAGCGTCTGGTCTATATTCTCGTGGTTCTTCCGATAGGATCCCAACAAATCGTGGGTCGCACGCAACTCACTCTCGTCGCCCAGCGGCGCGAACGACTTCGACAGCACAAGTAGAAGCAGCTGGAGACCACTCAGCTGCCTTGCTCCGTTCCCGTCGCCTGGGTCTGCGAATGCTTCATCACGTAGCTGCTCCTGTGGCATCTCCCTCGCCATGCTGCGCGCAGCGCCTCCCAATCGCAAGGCCACTGCCGGTCCTTCTTGTTCTGGAAGGACTTCTCGCGCCGCCGCCGCCGCCCATATAGTGACGTCCGTGAGCCAGAACCTGAACGGGTAGGCCCTGTCCTGCTATGGACTCCACGCGGGCGGAATCTTCGGGGAGCCCATCACCTCGAGCTGTATGTTCTCCATCATGTCCAGGAGGAGCGGTGCAGCCAGGGGCAGCATCAGAAGATGGCCGGCCAGCAGCCAGACCACAGTCCGAGCCGTGGTTGCATTCCACCTCGATGGAAACCACCTGTTCGCCGTTGGTCACCTCGATGACCTGCTTGTGGCTGGGAACGTCCAGCCCTCGTCGCGCAGTGGTGGTACTGGAGCCTCTGGTCCGTGGTGGACCAGAGCTCCGCTACCAAGTCGAGAGGCCTTTCCTCCCGACGCTGGCGCCACAGCCGCACCAGCGCTCTTTCCGATGTCCGCGCCCTCGGGCGCAAGCCCGCGCCGCCGCTCGCAGGCCTCACTCGTTAGGTCTTGAGCCAGAGCAGCCGCAGCGGGTCACCATGCTCGCCCGTGCTGCCCTTGATCTCCACGTCCCACCCCCAGTTCTCGACTTCCTCCTCCTTCCCCCCCTGGCAATCTTACAACGCCTACAACCTCTGCGACGGCAAATTGCGGTCGCAAGAAACGGCCGACCCAAACCAGACCATCCACGACACATACGACCCAGTCGGGGGGGGCAAAACGCATGGCATCGGCCTCAATTCTTTCATGCGCGACATTACTCATGTCCAGACGATGCCAGAAACTGCCACAGCCCAAGAAATAGAGACCCAAGCCAACAGCACGACAAACCGATTAGCCGACACATTAAATGAGGAGGATGGGGCTTCAACCATAGCAAGACTAACAACGTATTCAACCTAGTGGGCAGGGACATGTACGGCACCACCAGGACACTACGACGTAGCACCACACTAACAGGGCTCGCCCTACAAGAAATGAGGGCCCCGGGGCCACACCTACCAGCGGGGCAAGGCATAGCAGGAGAAAGTGCCAGGCGCAGCAGCGCAGTATGACTGGCGTGGAGACAATGCGGGACTTTCTGGACATCCGACACACCACGACAGATCAATCGACTCATGTGCATGGCGTTCATCACAGGTGCGGCCCTTAGCGGACTGGCGGCATTCGATCAACTGCGGCACACACCAGCGCTTTGGACAGTGTACTAGGCATATACTTACGCACGCGAGCAGGAGGAGCTACGTCTTGGGAGAAGGAGGGCGGAACCGTGCGCTGCAACAACCTACGACAAATATTCAGATACTGGAATATGGAACGCTCAGGGGTATCACTAATGCCACGACGACTAAGGCGGTGCCAGGGCTGGTCCCGCTATCCCAAGGAGCACGGCGCAGTGCTCGCATCTGTCCGCGGCTCCTTCCGACTCGATGTGTCTCGCGGATTCATGGGTTTGCGGGGGTCGAATTGGATAGGGCTACGATATACCCCGTGGGCCTTGCAATTCGCAGCCGGCATGCATGTGCGATCGGAGAGAGAGAGAGAGAGAGAGAGAGAGAGAGAGACAAAAAAATAGACATAAAGCGAAAGAGACTGAGAGAGAGAGAGAGAGAGAGAGAGAGACGAGCGCATGAGATGGCGCGCGCAACGGGGTTCCGACTTGGCCATATTCGAGACAGGAAGTATGGAACACATACGATGGTTACAAACAGACCCCAGGATATTATACAGTTACGAACGCAATTTCGGGATGCGCTGACGACGGGGGAGGGGGAGGTCACAGGGGGCGAGGGTGAATACATATTGCGACCATACTGGTGCGACCACGCGACGGTGGACACGGAGGGAGTGGACACAATTCGTGGACAGAGATGCCAAACGCACGCGGCTTTTGCAGGGCACCGTCGGGAAGTGCACAACATGAGACCAGCGGTAGAAGCAGCAGTCGTAAACAACCAGTGCCCGCGTGTGTAAGAGCACATTCGTAGATCGTAAAACAACCAGCGATCGCGCCGAGATCGGTCCACCAGTGCGGGGTTTGCCGGTAGTGCAGGTCCAAGTGGGCCCACCCTATACAAGAACCCAGGACGCTCATTTGTCGGACCTGTATACATTGGGCTCATACTCTCGAGGAATACCAGGCGCGCGTGCGAGAGCACCTCGCGGGCCCAGGTCAGACCCGAGCGGCCAAGGGAGAAGCCGCCCAATAGCGCGAGAGGCCGAGCGCACGACGATGGAGCGGCGCGCCATGCGCCCGCCGCCACCAGGAGGAGCAGTAGAGGAGCCTCGCCCGCAGAAGCAGGCCAACATCGGCGAGAGCAGCGGCAGCCAGGCGCCCCAACCAGGAGCCCGAGGCGGAGGGCGAGGTCGCGGACCCCGAGGATAAGGCGGAGGACCAGGTGGGGGAGGAGATGGAGGGCAAGCAGACCTTAGAGACAGCATTCGAGCGCTCCAACGGCTGGCCCTGCAGCGCATAATTAGCCGAGATCCGCAACGCCCCCCGCCACGCGATCGAGTTCTGGCTTGCCCTCTTCGCGGAAGGGTGGATCCAGGCCCCCATCGAGACGTGCCGCGAGTGCGGCAAGAGGGCGACGGC